CCCCCCCTTTTAGGGGATGGGGAGCATCTTTCCAAGAAAACCCTCAGCTGTAACTTGCTTGACGCAAATAACTTGATCTAATCACCTGTAGGACTTATTCCTATTTATAACCTTAACTATAATTTTCCCCATCCCCCCCCCCTCCAACATACCAATTTCTCTAACTTTCTGATAGTTACTAAAATACTTGTACGTGCAAATGTTTAAACAGACTACCATTTGGGGGCAGGGAGTTTAGAAAATTTTAAACTATTTAAAGCCATAATAAAATATTTTCTAGAATAAAATTTGACTTTATCCTTAATTTCTAGGTGATGGTCATGCCGATGAAATACTTCGTGCAAACAGGTAAAGGATCTGGGTGACCCTCTTTAGGAATTGCACAAATTGCTTTGCATTCTGAGACTGCAGGTGCAGAAATTAATATAATTGGGAAGATCTTATTAATAGAAATAAAACCCTTGTGGACAGTTTCTAAAGAGTAAATTTATCTATAACTACAAATTCCCCTCAATTCAGTTAATTTTGTTTACCTAAATGACAATTATACCAGTGAAAGGCTCGTCACTTTTTCTTCGCACAGATCTCCTAGACATACCAATAAATATTAAATTTTGTGCACAGCTAGATGGCAAGAAGTTTTGAAAGTTATCTCCCGTCTAAACCAAAATAAATGCTGTCAGTCTTTTTGTAATAACTTTCATCTTAATTGCCGAAGTCTTCTGATATAACCATAGAGTTCAGTGCTTACTCTTTAACGTAAATATTCCTTCACTAATTTGTGCATACGTCAGTGCATCTTGCACTGGTAGTTTAGTATCGAAGTAGTTTATTTAGCAAAGAATCCCCCCCTCCTGTAACTTTTCTAAAATAAAACTGGTTAGATATGGATTGGGACGTTTAGCTTGCAGTCTGACATGTATACTAAAACGAATGAACATTAATGACTGCTGTAGTGCATTACTGGAGGACTGAATAAGCTATACACTCTTGATTAAATTCCTCGAGGGAAGTTTGATGCTGGTGGGGGAGTGAGTGATCTGCTCCAATTGCACCAGAATGTGCAAGAATGAATTTCATTGCTAAAGAAAGACTACGATCTGCTACATCTTGACTACATGTACATGGTATAACGGTCCTAGTGACATAAATGACGTACTACTATATAAAAACCCCCCTTATGCAGAGCATTCCGGGAAAATTAGGCCCTTGTCCTAGGATGCGACCCACACCAGTAGATTAACTCATAGGTACCCATTTTACTGATGAGTGAACAGACAACCCGCCCAATGTTTATACCCAACGCTAGGAATCTGACCCTTGCCGTGTGAAGAGGGTTTTAGAGATAAGGTCATTAGCACTTCCGTGAAACGTGATCAGCACATAATCTTGCCCAGTTACTTCACGTATATTCTTGCAGGAGGTGTTTCAAGGTATTTTCTGTAGGATGAGGAACTTCACACCATTTACATCTGCTTGCTGGTAGTACAGACTCGAGTTTTAAATTCACGGTGGTTTTAGGTGCTCTTAATAGTCAAAAGCTGATTTGTCCACCTATCCTCAAGGTAAGAGGCTCCTTGGTGCAGTAAAGAGGCTTTACTGGAGTTCCAGGGTCAACTCCCCTGTGGCCCGGCCTCATGGTGGATCAGGGCCTGATCAACCAGGCTGTTGGCCATACTCGACCCAGCATAAAATGCCGCAGCCTGGCTGGTCAGGTACGGACTTCAGGTGTCTGTCCAGTCCCTTCTTGAAGACGGCCAGATTTCTCTTGGTAATCCTCCCTTGCGTATGCTGGGGAGGCAGTATTATCCTGCTTTTCAATAGGGGGATGTTGGATAGTATGAAGTCTTTTGCTTTCATAGGGAGAGATTTTAGTGTTTTGTACTAATCCCTCTAGTATTTCGGAGTGTATATAACTGCATACGTTCTAGGGGGTACAGGTTGAGGAACTTCAAGGGTTCCAGTAATTTTTTTTTTTTACAAACTTGCCATTAGTTAACTTCAGTTCTGACAACTGCGGGAGCAGTAACAAAACCCCACCCTATACTAAAACATTGCATAACAATCTGTTATGCCCGATACTATACATACACGGACTCGTGAACGTCCGCTGCACCATGCGGCCTGACCAGTTTTCCCCTTGCACAACCCACCCTCCCCCCACCCCACTGGCAGTGTACCCTAACTTATATACTTCATTAAATGTACATACACATAAAGCAAGAGCCATTACAAATGGCCTAAAGTGTCGATATCGTCCACTCGGGATACCCTGCAGGTTGAACGCCCAGTCACAGGCAGAACATCTTAAAATCTAAAACCTTACCTGACAGTATACACTGCCGTTAAAATGGTTTACAACATAGTATGACATGACAAATGGATCTCAGGGCCCAGACTAACCCCAGCCTAGTGTAAAACCCCCCACACCTCTCCTGCAGCAAATGTTACCCCTAAACCATACCATTTGACACAGGTGCTGGCTGCCCCCATGAAACCTCAGTTTGGTCTACATACACGCCAGCCAAGACTGTTACCACTGGTGCCAACTCGCACGGGCGAAATCCGGGTCCCTCACACACCCTATTAAAGCTCTTACTGAAAAGCGGGCCTTATGATCCCACCTATCTATGGCACATCCATTCTCTCCACTCCACACCTGACTCAGCTGCTCACCCCAACACCCAACCCCTCCCCCCCTCCCTCCTGATGGCAAGCCTGTCATTTTTCCCCTTGATCCACCCCCCCCCCCCTTGCATCACGCACAAATCCTGTACCGAGGGTATAGTAACCCGCTGAAAAGCACTCCTCCCACCTATCCCATAAATATCCCTGTTCCTATGCATTTACGAAAAATTGCTACCAGAACACATTTCCTCACCTCCCACTCATTTGATGCCCTCATACTCCATGAGATGAAAAATAGTCCACCATCACACATGCCATACCCTTATTCACTCCCACATCCAACTCAGTTGCCTGCAAAACTTGTGGCCCCTACCTGTGCCACAACCAGTCAGATTCCCTGATCCCCCCCAGCCTCTTGCAGAAATATAAAAGGCTGCCTCCTCCCCCCACACAATCAACACCACCCCTCACCTCCAACCCTTCTATCCCACAGGACTGCACCAGATGGCAAAATACCATGCAAAAACGAA